TACCCACCCAGGTCAAAGTTTAAAGGTTGTAGCAGTTTCCATTTCTCAGCAGAGTGGGCGGTAAACAATTGCAAGTGGACGTCAATCAGGATTGCAATGCCTCATATGGCTGCTAATAATTTGAAATCGGAAATTAATGGGCGGTGGTCGTCTCGCATCGCGCGTTCGAATTTCGTGTAAACAAACAATGTATTTTACACGCGTTTTATACGTATTTATGGCACCAATGCCGAACACGACGCGGCACGACGACCACTGCCCTTCAACTAAACTGATTGGTTCAGCGATGACGTAATAATCACGATCATCATTACCACCCATAGGGGAGCACCCGAATTGGAACTTGGGTACCCACTCTCAGACATGATTCTTTTTAATCACATCTAACAGCGTACACACATTTGGGAAAAAACAAGTACAAAAACATCAAAAGTAAACCCTATTTGCGACATTTTGCGTTTATCATGTTAGAATAAAATACCTTCATTTTAGTTGGTTTTCTGATTCCAATAACCCTAAACCCCGTAAGTGTGCAGACGTAACTGTTTGTTTGATAACCACTCATAATACGCGTGCGTGTTATTAAATGTATTATTAAATTAAAAAAATTAGTGTTTCTCTTATCTACTCCCTCTTGTATAATGAACTGTTTTTTTGCCAGTTGTCTTCACCGAATATTTACCCAATGGGATCCATCGCTTATCAATGACATTCATTACTTTTTTGTTCTATTGTATGCTCCCTTTATTGTAACTTATCTCAAGATCCTATAAAAGATACGATATCAATAAAGTTTATTATTAATATTATTCTTAGTGTACTCAATGCCTGTAAATACATGCTTTATTTCCACGATACAGTTGGCATTGGTTTACCAAGTAAACGTTATTATTGATGAAGGTCATTAATAAGCGGAGTATTTCATTCTGCAAACAGGTGGCGAAGTTTATTGGCAGAAGAACGGTCCATTATACACAATTGTAAATATACTTCATTTAAATACAAGTACATGGCCAATCAGTGGCCGTAATTTTCGTAATAGTGTACTCTGCGTCAAAACAAAACACAAATAAAGACACTGATCTCAATTATATAAGGGCCTAGGAAATACCTAGTATTTTGTAAAAAGGTCTGATATATATAATATCGTCATCGGTTTTGCAAACTATGAGGTTCAATAAGTCGCATATTCGTCTTTCCCTATTTCACTTCTGTGATTAAATACTAGTAGTTACAGTTCAACTTTGACGCATATTCAGTTTTATCATACAAGACATTAGACACGATTT